ACCCAGACAGTAATACAGTGGGATAAGAAAGGGTATGGTTCTAAAGGAGTTATTGAACACAGAGAAAAGATCCTGACATTGACCCTGGGTCTCCAGTGGGAGGAGGTCCAGCCTGGCTTTAGGTGCTGTGTTGGGTCATGCTGCCCATGATGACCATGCAAACTATGGGGAGAAGGAGTCAAATACAGGGGCGCAGGGTGACCTCCTTTTCCCAGCTCCCTGCAACTTTAATGGAAACAATGACACCAGCGAGGGGAGAGAAAGTAATCCTAAGGAGGAAGGTTGAAGAGACTTAGACAGGCTGAGCATTTACAGCATTTTCCAGCTCCCCTCTATCTGAAAAAAAAATGTCATTCCAAATTATTCTTTATTATTTGGGTTCTTCTTTTTCCTTAGAAAAAAATTAACATTTCTCTTCAGGTGGCTGTTAACAAAACTTGCGGAAAAACAAAACACCTTTTCCAGTTAATTGCTCCCACTTCCCTTAAGCTGTTTCCTAAGAATGAAATATGGGAGAAATGAGTGGGTGAGGGGGGCAGGAGGAAGAACAAGAAAAGCAGAGGCGATAGACGAGGGAGGAGAATGAGGATAAAGAGCCACTCGGGAAAATGAGGCTGCTTTTGAAGGACAGAGGCAGAGGAAGAAGAAGATGAAGAAAGAAAGAATAAGAGGAGAAGGAGGAGGGCCAAAAGGAGAAGGGTCCAGTACTGGAAGAGAGAGGAGAGGTGAAGGGGGAAGGAAGAGAAACTCAAGAGTGGGGAAAGTGTAAGAGGTAGCACAGCCACGGCAAACGAGGGAGCTGAAGCAGAAGCAGACAAGATCTGGTGCCCACTCCTGACTCCGAGCCGTGTCTGACAAAGTTATTATGTGGCTCCCACTGCCTGGTTCCACTGAACAGAAATGTTATTTCTGTGTGCAGCTCTAATCAGGTCAGGGCTGCTTGGCACCCCGGTTCCCTACATCGCCTCAGCCTGAGATCAGTCTATCAGGCACTATTTCCTTCTATGCTCAGGCTGAGCCTATGCTGTGGTCTCTAGATATGCTAGACACTGGACTGATAGCCTTAGTCCACAGCTATCTTTAGACGTTCAGACTGCGGCCTAGGTGGTATTCAGTGAGTCTCCTTCAGAATGCAAGCGGCTGTGCACCTCTGTTCTCTACCTCAAGCCTGAAGGTACTACAGGGGACAGGACATATTTTCCTCATATCTCCTAAGCATCCCTTATATTGAAGTCCCTGTCAGTGATATTTATAGGAAATGGCCATTGCATTTCACTTGGAAAAGGCGAAATAAAGAGAGAAAAAATGGTTTGAATCTGGAAACAGACTAACTTGTTCCAGTCTGGAAGAAGTATAAGCTCAAATCTAATTCCAATCTACTGCCCAGGAAACTGACATTGAGTTAGTCCTGGCCCTTGGCCTTCAGTAGTCCTATGAAAGCAGAGCAGAGCCAGTAATCCCCTGTCACATGTGTTCAGAGATGTGTCCTAGCTGTTTTCCAGGCCTATGCGGCTGAACCCAACATTCATAAACAGCCTGTAATTTTAACTCAGGGCAGTATTCTACTTAAAGGTGAATACAGGTACCAAGATACACTGGCAGGATTTAAAGAAGACAAAACCCACCTTGCAAACATAAACGTATGCTGTAATACCAGATCATAGGTCATACTATACCACTGAGAGCTGACGGTGCTAACATTAAACACCCCTGCACATATCAGACAAGCCCCACTACTGACGCATGCTCGAAAGCCAGAGGTACCATTTTCGCCAGGCCTTTCAGACATTATGAAAAGTATGATTACAGTCCGTTGTCTTCTGTGCATATGCACAGAGGCTAATTCGTCAAATATTGGTGTTTCAAATAAACTGTGTTCTTATGCCCTTTTCTGCCTTTGTTGTTGCTGTTCTAATACACCTGAAAGTTTTTGAGCAGAGTAGCTCTTTGTGGGATACTGGAGAGCCTGTCCTCTAAGGGTCCAGTTGTTACTAACAAGATCATATCCAAATATAAGGTAGAGTGGGTCCGTAGTGAGTATGTGTATCACAGTGCATGGCTGAGCAATTGCTACTCAACTGTTGAATATGAATTCCATATCAGTGAATAGATTTTCAACTTACTATAAGTTGTCTGACAAAGATCTTTTCCTTTCATACTAGGAGTGTGAATGGAATGGCAAATAACCTTAAAGCATTCTTTTTTGGGTTTGTTTTTGTTTTCTGAGACAAGGTGTCAGCACATAGCATGGGATGACCTAGAACTAGACATATGGCCTAGGTTGATTTTAATGGCCAGCACTCTTCCTGCCTTTCCAGTCTACGTGCAAGGATTAAAGCCATGCAATGCTGTGACCAATGGTGCTTTACTTCAGAAACATTACAAATAAATCAGAAAATAAAGAAAAATTAAAAGAGGAAAACCCCAGTGTTTCCAGAGGCATGAAATTCCTGAGTTAAAAGGATTTAATTCTGGGGAGAAGGGAGGATTTTCACAAGTTTCTGCTTTAGAGGTTTGTGCACGTGGAGCCAGCGCTCAGCTGACGAAAGCAGCAGTGATTGCACAAGGAGGTCAACAGACATGCGCCCCACAGATCTCTGCCTCCTGTGTCTCCTAAGGACACAGAGCAAACCTAGCCACTTCCCATATGAGTTTCACGCACATGAAGAAGCCGGATGTACCCGTACCTAAATACATGGGGACTGGAGGGCCATCCCACTGCAGATGTAATGCAACTACCTATTCCTAAGTTACGAAAAAGCCATCCCACACAAATGCCCTCTCATCCCCCAACCAGCTCTAGAAAAGAACAAGCATTATTGCTTTTCAAGCATGTGGAAGAAGACATAAGTTTGCACTGAGCATCAGGTGGAGCTTGTTTTAAAAGCTTCAAAGCTCAGACAAAAGAGGATCAGTTTCATTAAACTACCATAGAATCAGATATAAACATTTCCATAATATTTCACCACTGAAACAGAGAGAAATGAGGACATTGAAATAAACGCAAATGCTTTATGACTGTCCTTAAGGTAGCAAAATCGCTTTCTTATTAATAATGTGGAGACAAGTGTACTATTTATAACAGCGTAAAAATTTGAAGGCCAGCGTGCATAGCTTTTATGTCTTGTTATAAGCCTATATCTATACAAAGCAAGCTTAAATAATCATTAACATATAGGGTAATAATGGTGTCTTACAATAATCCATTATCTTCCTAGAGATCAACAAATGGCTACTGCTTCTAAACATTGGAAGTCAAATATCCACCCTTGTATGGAAAACATGTTACTGACCTTGTTCTAGCACTACCTTTTTCCAGAAGGCAAGAATATATATTTGAAATATTTCCATCTCTATCACTCTACTTTAGCTACATATAAATAATGTTATGATCAAATCTATCATATTAACTTCAAATCTTCTTGATTTACCTGCTTAATTTTACACAATTGGTTAAATTCCTTCTCAAACTTTTAGTAAACATAATTCATCCCTCTGTTGCTGAAAGTCTTCTTAAAATGTTAACTTTTAAATTTGACAATACTAACTTAAATCTAGAGTTTGTTTCATTCACTTTCAAAGTCGGTCCCATATTTTCGGCGGGAACTCAAATAAGTAACTGAACACTCAGCGTGGAAGAAAGCAAGAACCTTCCTACAAAACCCCACATGGCGGACACATCGATCTCCTACATACAGGACAAGTAAGAGCAGCCCAAGGTTTCGTCACTGAAGAAAAGGGAAGAAGAAGCTAGCAAGATCATCTATCTGCCACAAAGATACATTTCCTCATTGTGTATAAAGAAAAGACTTTTTTAAAAAATTTAAAGTGCACATACTGCCCAGAAAGAAAAAATGCTTTTGGAAGTCTATCAGAAACTAACCCAGACAAACCAAACACTGTGAGAAACGATGTTCTTCTCATTTGTATAAGCTACTTTCATTATTTAAGCTGCAGATGATCCTGTAGAATGTGCATTTCTGGTCAAAGGGCTCATATGTCTATTTTATTTGTATAATCATTTGTGTTTATATAGAGAAGAAATCTGAAAATAAAAGAGTAACATAATAAACTCATATGATGGCATTTTTTCTCTCTACCCCCTCCATGTCGTCTATCAGAAAAAAATCATGGATGTTGTTTATGCTCCTGCAGCTAAAGACAGCTCCTTGTTTCCTGTCTCATTCACGCTGCAATATAGAATTGAATACATGGCATGGAAATTGACTTCCACTCGCTTTCGAAGCTCTAGATAAAATTAGACAAACAGAATCATGTATTATAACCAAACACAAAAACTGGTGACAGAAACTAATTCAGATTTGACTATATATGCAGGCACAATGAAAAACATGAATCCGTCTTAATTGTAATCAAACACTTTATAAACTCTGAGACATGACAATATCCCAGTTTTATAACCGGGAAGCATGTATCATCAATAGTTAAAACCATGCCTATTAGAGAAGACCGCAAAGGACAGGGCAACGGGTACATTGTTGACTCTGGGCTGGGTGTTACACAGTTCTCAAAACGGTTCCTTTCCCCTGTATCCGCTCCCTAAGTCCTCTGGGCCATTCTGTCTTCTCTTTGCCTGATCTTCCGCTGAACTAGGCCAGGTCTTTTGCTACTTCTAATAACAGCTCCTTCTTGACCCAAGATAAAGCGCATGCCCAGGTCTACAGGACTCTGTGACTGGGGCTCTCAGTACTTCTTCCTGCACTTCCAAACCACCACACCACGTGGTACACCAGGGAACTCAGAACGCTACCATCTGGTCCAGGTCTGTCCCTACAGACAACAATACCATTTTCTGACATCCCACAGAAAAAAATGATTATATCTGCCTACATATGATGCTGGAAAGACTTTTCCTTTATCTGTGTGGCCAGTTTGTTCCATCTTACTAAAGCAATGAAGAAAACGATACTCAGTGGAATGTGAGAGCTACACCTTTTATGACCCAAGAAAAATGCGACCCAAGGCCGTGTTTTTCATACCTTTGCAGCCACCGATGAATTCGGTTTCTCCAGCAAGTCCCAAAGTTTCTTCCTTTTCTCGGGGCAGCAGGTGTTGTCAAACTCCTCTCCCTCCCGCTCGCGCATGGTCTCTGCCTCCCGCCTCAGTTCTTCGTTCATCTGCTCTTTCTTCTGATGGTACCTGGCTTGGCAGCAGGATTCCAGGTAAATCTCATCGATGCCCCAGTAATCAAGCTCTTGGCCAAAAGAAAGCGCACACATTTCTTCCATCATGTGGAGCTTCCCTGTCCGGTAGAAGTTTAGAATCGATGTGAAAGCTCCCGGATGTCGGTCGAAGAAATACTCATTCTCATTCAGGTTGTAGTCATCGCAAACCTCCAGGAGGCTCTCGTGCGTGTTACAGTCCCGGAGCTTCCCCAAGCGCGTCCTGGGGAGCCTATCCAGAGTTCTCCACAGGACTTCGTGGTTAAGGCCCCCCACATTGATCTTCACTCTCCGAGAGCATGTTTTGCTTCGGATAATGTCTACGGGTTCTGGAGGAAGAGAAAGTGTCGACCTGGATGTCTTCCTGTTCAAGCCAGGTGGAGCCTTTTCTGCCATTTTGAACTGGACAGAACCACAGATCCAGGGTCCTTAGAGAGGAGGTCAGCTGAGGCAGGATTCCTCTGGAGCAGGAGTGTCCATGACAGCTGGGGGGAAAAAGGGCATTTAGTCATACACAGCTCTCCCACAGCGCTGCCTGTCCTGCTGGGTCACTCTGCTGCTACAGTCACGGATACCATTAATGGTCATTGTTTTTCTCCTGCAGGTATAAACCTGGGTTGTAGGAAATAAGAGGGGAAGCCACATAATGAGGTTCCCAGAGGAAGCTGTGTGCTCACTTGTCCACATCTGTAGCTTGACAAGACCCAAATGCATCACCGGTGTTGCAGAGCAGTGCAGGTGCTGATGAAGGCCCCAAAGATAAAGTCCTGGCACAGTGACGCCAGCTCTGCTGCTAACCTACCCCGCCAGGTCCTGTTCACAACATCCGTTTCAGGTGGATGACCTTCCTCATGCCCGCACCTACTCCAGTCACTGAAACCAAAGTCTGAGAGCACCTGGTCCTCTCATCTTCATGCAACTACAGACCTCTGGACATTATAACTCCTAGAAACTGCTTGCACTCTCTGCCGTTACCCAGTCCCAGCACCAAGGGCCTGAGCTAAACTCCTTGCCATCCTTGTATGTGGCACTCCAAGAGTCATTAAACTGGCCCAGCCTCTGGTGTTGGTCATCTGAGCCACTCTCACAACACAGCAACAAACACCATCTACTAAGACACAGACTTGTCCTTATTACCCTGACCTAAACCTTCAAAGGCTCTTTGTTATTGGAAGTAAAACCAAGTCAGCCATACAAGATCCTCTCCACATTCCCTACTAGTCCAAATCACTGTCTGGAAACCGTCTTCTATCTATAGGGAATATAACGCAAAATACTTAGGGATTTTAGGAACCTTGAAATGTGTGTAGATAGGTTGATAGCTGGATGTTAGATAGATAATACAGACAACTAGATATAGAAAGCTATATCATAAAATAATTTTCATATATATATACGCATACCATTTTTCTGTTTTAATTTTAATACACTAATAGAGAAATAATAATAGCTAATAGTAAAATAGAAGAACTATAATAATATGGTATATTTAACATTATCTAAAACTTCGAGAAGTCATTGTTTTTTACCGCAGCGTAGTACTCTCGAATTTTGCATGCAAATGGATGGAAATAGAAAACACTATCCTGAGTGAGGTAACCCAGACCCAAAAAGATGAATATGGATGTACTCACTCATAATTGGTTTCTAGCCATAAACAAGGGTCACGGAGTCTACAATTGGTGATCCCAAAGAAGCTAAGTAAGAAGGTGAACCAAAGGAAAAACATATAATTGTCCTCTTGGCTATGGGAAGTAGACAAAATGGCCGGGGAGAAAATTGAGATCTTGGGGGTGGGGTGGGATGGGGGTAAGGGGAGATGGGGAGAGAAAAGGGAGAAGGGGAGAATGGGGGGAACTTGGGGAAAAAGGAGGATTGGGATAAAGGAAGGTTGGATAGGGGAGCACGGAAGCACAATTCTTAGTTAAGGGAGCCACCTTAGAGTCGGCAAGAGACTTGAACCTAGAGTGGCTCCCAGATGCCCAAGCCAAGGTTCCCAGTTAGTTCCTTGGGCAGCTGAGGATAGGCAACCTGAAATGACCCTATCCTATAGCAATACTGACGAATATCTTGCATATCATCATAGAACCTTCATCTGGTGATGGATGGAGATAGAGACAGAGACCCACACTGGAGCACTGGACTGAGCTCCCAAGGTCCCAATGAGGAGCAGAAGGAGGGAGAACATGAGCAAAGAAGTCGGGACCACGAGAAGTGCACCCACCCACTGAGACAGTGGAGCTGATCTATTGGGAGCTCACCAAGGCCAGCTGGACTGTGACTGAAAAAGCATGGGATAAAACTGGACTCTCTAAGCATGGCGAACAATGAGGGCTGATGAGAAGCCAAGGACAATGGCACGGGGTTTTGAACCTACGTAAAGTGCTGGCTTTGTGGGAGCCTAGCCAGTTTGGATGTCCACCTTCCTAGAAATGGACGGAGAGGGGCGGACCTAGGACTTACCACAGGGCAGAAAACCCTGACTGCTCTTTGGACTGGAGAGGGAGGGGGAGAGGAGTGGGGGTATGGGGAGAAGGGTGGGAGGAGGGGGAGAAGGGTGGGAGGAGGGGGAGGGAAATGGGAGGCTGGGAAGAGGTGGAAACTTGTTTTTTTTTCTCCTTTTCTCAATAAAAAAATGGAAAAAAAACATTATCTAAAACTAAGGAGTTATTAATTTCTATAAATTTCCATGTAATATTTTCGGGCCTTGTTGGATCATGGTTAGCTAAAAACACAGAAAGTGAGTGGATAAAGGGAACTTTTCTTTTGTGTTGCACCAACCCTATCATGCCCACAGCACTGATTTTAGGGCTTGGCTCATTTATAGCAAATCCTGGTGGGATCTCCAACTTTTGTATTTGCTTTTGATCAATAACTGCTTGCTTTTCAAGACTTGGGCCAGATGTTACCTTCTCCAGAGGATCTTCCATGACACACATCCTCTGGGATCAAGAAACTGTGTCTCTTGTCTTCCACCATGTTACTGAAACAGTATCTTTCCGTAATGTACTGCAAGCTCCCAAGAACAAGCCCACCCTTCTTTATTTTTATGCCCTTGTCATTGAGTACTGTTCTTACACATTGGAGTGGTTTGCTTTATTAAAATAATGAGTCAATTCTTTGTTTTCCATAAGCAGCTAACAGTCAGGAAATGTATAAATGACGTTATTGGGATTGTGTGCCTGAAATGCATCTATGTGTGCAAGCTGTGCATGGTCAGAATCTGTTATTGCATGCCGAATTTGTGTCCTTTTGTTTCACATCTCTTTTCCACTGGGCACTAATGTTTAGAACACGATATTTATAGTTTTTCCCCTTGATGGTCTTGTTGTATTATCATCTGAAGCAAGAAGAATCCTCGTGGCTATTATCTTCTGAGTGATTTGGTAGAAAATCCCAGAGCTTTGAGAAACTGGCCCACAGAGCCCTCTTTGAGGTAAAGCGCCATCTTTTGCAAGTCAGTGGCTGAGACTAAGGTGAAGTGATGAACTTTGAGATCTGAGAGGTTCTTAGGGCTAAGACTTTATTGTAAGATGCACAGCAGTTTCTGCAAGGCCCAGGATTCTCCATCTGCATGTTAAGTTTATTTCTCCATCTGGAGGCCAAGTATCCTCTAAAATGAATATGTTTGCCTTCTGAAGGAAAAGTAGATGGACCATATGAGAAGGATTTTAGACGTGGGCAACAAAAAAATTGGGAGTTTTTTCAGACATACAGGAGTATTTTAAAGATACATGCACACATACACTTCCCTCATGTCTGGCCAAAAATAATGTCCATTTTACAAAAATAAAAAGGGATGATAATGATTGCTAAAGTTGTTTGAGCTTGAATTCTTCCTTTAGGAAGACAAGAATAATATCTCATCCATAAGGCATGGTATCATCATGAGTAAATGAGACCTTTTGTATAAAGGTTTCACTCTAAGAAAACACATCTAAATAAAATAAGGATATTCACAGATCTTCCTCGGGTTTGGTTTTTCAACTGCTGAACGAAAATGAATAAGAAAAAACACATTCATGTTTATTAAATGAATGCTAATCCATCTTTTACCTTTTAAGGCCTGGACTTGTGGGTCTCATTCTTTCTTTCTGTTGAAAATTAGACCTACAAATAAGAGACACTCTGTAATATGCACTGTGTTGGTACTGATGCTCACATCCACATTTTGTATCTTACTGACATTGAACTAAAAATATTTTTAAAGGAGCAGTAGCATCAACGTCAGACAAAATTAAATGAAAATATTAGGAAAAGGGCAGTTGCAGTGGTGAGCACAGATGTCTTTTCCACTGAATGACGTCACCCTGCTACTACCGTAACAACTCAAAGTCTGTTACTAGTTCACATGAACAATCAGCACTAAGGTAAGACTGCTTTGAACTTGGAGACTGTTCTATTTGCTTTTCCTTCACTGTGATAAAGCACTCACCCTGAGCAACCTGGAGAAGGAAGGGTTTATTTGGCTTGTACCTCCACATCACACTGTGTCACTGAAGAAAACCATGGAAGAACTTGAACAGAAAGCGGGAGGTAGGAGCTGAAGCAAAGACCACAGAAGAATTCTGCTTCCTGACTCATTGACTGCTTCTGCTTAGCTAGCTTCCTTCTACAACCCAGGACCACATGCCCAGGGTGGCATGATCCACTGTGAGGTCGACCCTTCTCCATCAATCAGCAGTAAAGAGAACAGTGCAGGCATAGCCATAGGTCAAGCTGATGGAGACATATTGTTCAGCTGAGATTCTCTCTCTTCCCAGGTATGTCAAGTTCACAACCATGAACAGCCATCACAAGGACAAATGAACAGAAAATGCACCTCCTCTTTTTGGAATGCCATGCCTCCTGATTAAAATAGTGTTTTAATTAATTACCTCACATATGAGGTTTATGACAAAGACAGAGAACATTAGCATGACTCTGGTAGAAACATTTCCTATCTATGATCAAAGGTCTATGTCCAAAGACCTGCCATCCTGTGATGGTATTGCTAAGAGTAAATGCTGTGTCCAAATCACCAGCACGACACCATTTACTTAAAGCTTTTGCATGCCCATGACTTACACTGAATTTTCTTTCAAAGGGCGTCTAAGTGAAAAGTGGAGAGAGGTCAGAAGACTTAGATTTCAAAATATCTACTTCACTGGTCAAGAACTTTCTATTGTAAGAAATCCCATGTTGATTACAGATCCCATAATAAAAATCAGGCTGAAACCCAATCCTCTCTTTTCAAAGAGAAGAGGGCAACCGGGGCAGAGGACGCCCTGTTGATTCAACTTCCGTCCAACTGAACATTGTCCACTGCGGCTCTTGTGGCTGTGATAAATGTCTTCATTCACCCTTGGCAGAATGTTCTGTGTGCTCCCTGATTAAAGACATCAGCTCTTGAGTAACTAGAGAATGAGAATAGTGTTCAGAGAGTCAAAAAGGTTTTCAGAATAAGCCAATAATTCAGGTACACTCCAGCGTACCAGCCCCGACA